CACACACACACACACACACACAGAGAGAGAGAGAGAGAGAGAGAGTCAGCCTTCCTGCCTTTAGGATTACTGTTCTCACAGCCATACTACATTTCAGAAAGGCAGCTACTATGCCACATAATCCATTAATCTGCTCAACAGGTTGCATGAACCTGTGACTTCTCTCAGATGAACCTTCAGGCAGGTTATTATGTGGCACCACAATTTTTCCCAAGCCATATTCTCCTCATCCCAAGGACCTCTAGACACTTTGTTCATATTAAAACAAATACTTATCTGGAATTAATATTTGTAGGTGGAAAGGCTGTTGGTGAAAGAATTAAGCCCTATAAACCGCTCCTCTGCTCCAGGTAATCACCTCTCTATGCTACTTTGCCATGAAAATGGATGTTTTCCACATTTTATTACATACATTCATATACAACATGCAATTATGTAGGGCTTCTGTCCACATTCACTGTCTTGCCAAATTTGATTTAATTTCACTTTTCTGTTTTCCCATAAATAATTATATCTGTGTACCTTTTGCATACATACACTTCTTCCTTCGGTAACTGAACTACATCTAAGAGTGAAAGATGGAGAATTCCAGCCATGATTACCTCAGGAAATTTAAGTAGCTGTTTGAGATGAAGGAGTTAAAAAATAGAGAGAACCTTGAAAAAAAGGTCAGATTTAAAATATCCAGATAGCAGATACAATTAGCAGTGTCTAGGAATATAGATGCACATGTGTCATGGCTTAATTTTAGAAACAGATGTGCATGCAAACACACTTCAAGGGAAGAGTTACCGTATCAAGTTAGGAAAAGTTAATTTTGCTGGAAAACCAGAAAAAACAGCAGCAGCAGCAACACTTAGACAACAAAACTTAGGTTGCAGTGCCCCCTTTTTTTCCTGCAAAGCTGTTAAAAATAAATGTTACAGTGGATCCAAGCCCAAGGATGGGTTTTGAGAATACCCATAAATATGACCTTATGAAGTACAGCATCCGGCTTCCACTTCCATTCCCTTCTGAAACCCTTTTGATAAAACTGTATTCTGAACCAGAAGAAAAAGGAAAGATTTATATAACTACAGAGCTCATAATCAATAAGGTTTAATTCATTCTACAATATCAATCAATGATGAATATCATTGGGAAAGTGGCCATCTACCTATACTGTACCTAACAATAAACACAGTACACACCCATCAAGTCTATCTTAATACACTGTAAACTGCTGCCATCTTCTGAACAAAACCTAAAACTCCCCTCTCTGTTACATGAAATGAAGACAGTAGCTGTTCTGATTCGTTAGAAAAATTTAAAATATACACGATTAAGGTATACTTCTATCAAAATGCCATAAGGTTGTGCAGGTTTTCAAGTTCTCTCCAGGCCAGGTGATACAAAAAAAAAAAAACAGACTTTGGAAAAGCAATTTTTTGAATATAACTTTTGGAATCCAACACCTAGTGCCTCCTCTTGGATTCTGTAAGCTGCTGTCCAAAAAGGTTTTAAAAAAAAAGCTCTCTATATAAAAAAGAGAGGAGATGGGGGAAATGACACAAAAATATTATACTGTAGTATAAATATATTATAATGTAAGATATATCATACAAGCATAATAAGGCTAACTTAGCAATTAAAAATAACAGCATTTAACAGATGCTTAGATGATTAAAATATTTTGATATGTTAAACACTATTTTTAATCAAGGGACAGTTTTATTTCTGAAAGATCACCACAGCTGATGGCCTCATCAGCTTTACACAGTGTGGCTGCACAAACAGAATTTCAGCTATTGGACAGATAGGGAGACAATGTAGAGAGATTAAGGCAAATGATTAAAGACCAAGTAACCATAAAGCCATAAAATACAGCAAGTTAGAAGATTTTGCCCACAGAAACCACTGGTAATGGTGCGGCTAAAAATATTGTAAATAAATAAATAATAGTGAGAAATAGCCAGTGATGTTATCCATAGATTGATGTTACTTTACCAACAACTATTGTTACTTTTGCAGAACAAGGCTTCAAAGGGAAAGAAAATTACTTAAAAGAACTGAATATGAAAATACCACACTGACTCACACAATTTGCAGCTTGTGTCTATACTATACTAGCCAGCCATTGTTACTTTGTCCTTTGCATCCCCCCTGGATCATGAGGCCATTGTAGGGGATATAGAAAGAGCCTCCCTGGAGAGTGGCAGTGTGAGTACTCAGCATGCAGTTGGCAAATCCTTCGCTTCCAGAAGTGTCGCACTGGAATAACAACCAAACCAACCCACTTCATGGACACCAACTCTCTGGACCACACCTGAAGTAAAGGGAAAGCACACATCTCAAGCTCTGACTGCTTCTGATCAAAAATAGTCCGATTGACTTGACATTTTAATTTTTTTAAAACTTTGCCTGAACTTCATGTGTGTCCATGAATTTGAATTGTGCAGTTCTCTGATACAAAGAAAGAATAAAGAATGAATTAATAATTGCCATATAGTCACAGTCTTAGGTCTGAAGAAGTGAACTTGGTCTACAAAACCTCACGTTGAAGTACAGCAGTTAGTCTTTCAGGTGCCATGATGTGTTCGACTTGTTTGTTTTGTTTTGTTTCTTGCCTGATAAGATTGTTACAGCTGATCTTCAAAAGTAAATAAATGAGAAATGAAGTGCAGGAAGGAGAAGTATTTGTTTGATGAATAACCAGAGAAAATGATTTGGATGTTCCAGGTGAAATTCCACTCAGGAAAAGCTCCAATCTGTGGGAAGATCATAGATCATCATCATAGGCATCCTTCAGTCTCGAGAGACTATGGTAACGTGCTCTCTATGGACGACTTGGAACAGCGTCTAGTGTTTTGATGCTGTACGTGAAGCTGGAGTGTCCTCTCCAGGGCACGAAGCCTGGGTAAAATAATATCGAGGATAGGCTGTTACCTAACCAGCAAATCCCCACTCTCCAGGTTGCTGAAATGGTCCAATGGAAAGGCAAGAGCCAATACAACTGGTTTCAGCGACGTCGCAGGAGTTGACAGAATGATACAAACTGCCTCCGGGACTCCGGCTCCGGATTTTGCCTCGAGGTTATCTCCTGAAGCCTTTTCCATCTAACCCACCACAATGTAGGTCAATATTATTATCCTATATTGCAGACATCAAGACGAGTTCACTCTCTACTGAAGTGAAATCTGAGCAGGGGATTCCTCTGCTTACTCTTTTAGCCAGTATAGCCCATTAACTAAGTGATGATGTTAATTATCCAAAAAAAAAAAGTGTTTTCTTTATTTTATTTTTATGAAAGTAAAAAAATTGTTTTCAGTATTTGAGGAGAGGGTTTGATAAACAGTGCCTACTGCTTGATAAACAAAAAATATAAAGACAGACTATCCCAATACAATACTTTTAATTATTTTCCCCACAGGACAGCTTACACACACATAAATATTCAAACTTTCTATATCAACAGAGCTCGGCTGTCTAGCCATCTCGGAGGAAGTAGAAATGATTTGAAGAAAGCAGAAGCACAGAGCGTCCGTGTCTCCAGTTAACAAGGGACCCGCTTGCAGATCAGGTTCTAGAGTAGCCACATCGCTGGCCTTCACGAATACCTAATAGGTAAAAAAGAGGCAATTGTGGATGTAGGCATATGAGAAATATATTTGTGCTTCCGATTTACGAAGGCTGGGCGGCAGAGGCGGGCGAGCTGGGCGGGCTTTCCTCCGGGGCTTCCCCGCCCCCGCCCTTCCTTCCTTCCTTCCTTCGGCTTCCGAGCGGCGGGCAAAGGGAGGGCCGGGCTTCCGCCGGGGAACTGTTCGCCCCTCGGTGGTGCTGATGATTTTGATTGAATAAAGGGATAGCAAATAGTATTGTAGAAAAATACCCTTTCTATTGATTTCTGCGCTGTGAACATAAAAGTTTTCTGTAGTCATGACATTTTCTTCCTAATGTTCAACTGTACTACTTTTGCATGTCCTTCTAATCTTTCAGATTCAGTTCTTGTAGGCTGAATTTGTTCTCTTGTATTCCATCTACCTCTTATGATTTATTTCTTCCAAGTACTTGGTAAGCTGCTATCAAAATTGTAGGTTCTTCTTTAAGATTCCTCTTTAATGGAATCTGTTGTCCTTGTGTCTCCTTCTATAGTTCTTCAATATATGGTTTCCATTTCCTTCTTATTTTATATTGTCCAGATAATATATTCTCCTGCTGACTTTTCAGCATCCCTAACCTAGTTTTATATTTCTATTTGATTTCTTGGATCTTATGGAAGAAATCTCATTTTTCCTCTTCTTATGTTCTCTTCTTTTCTTTTGCATTGGTTATTTTTGTTTCTACATGATGGTTGCTGATATTTAGTACCGCCGCCGCCGCCGTCGGCGCAGAAGGCCGGCCCGGCCCGCTGCTACCTCTTCAACTGCACCTACCGCGGCCGCGCCGTCTGCCTCTTCTCCCCGCAGCGCGGCTACAGCAGCTACAGCCTGGAACCCACCAGCCTCCCGCCAGGCCCCGGTGAGAAGGGCTGGCCCTCCCATCGCCCCCCCCCGCTATAACCAAGCTAGGGGCCCATCGTTTTGTTGTTATTTGCTGTTGTTTTCTTTTAAGCGGGCCAGGGGTAATGCTTGCTGGCCTGGAGCCCTCCTTGTGAGGGATGGTAGGCCCTTTGTGTATCTGTTCAGAAGCTTCTTGGGCGTCCAGCAGGTTTAAGGCTTCAGGAATAAGATGTTGTTCTTCTACAGGAGGTGTGTGAGGTGCTGGCCACCACACTGGCCTCGCTTAGGTGATGGAGCTCCTGATCGTGTTTAGATCCTCTTTGGAGCTCATCCAGGGTAACAGGAGGGAAGTATATATATTGTGCCTGCACATCCTATATCTCTACATTTCTGCCACGGTTGCATCTCTTGTGAGTACAGGTGTTTGGGAACAGTGCAAGCTGTACCCCTGCAGGCTGGTTTTCAGTTCCCATGTGTCTTGCTTTCACAAGGCTGCAGTTTTCTTTTGGCAGTGTAATGGAGTAAACATATAATCAGAGAACTGTGGACTGGATGTATCCTTCTAGCAACAGTTCTTCAGCTCTTCGCACTCTCTGAGGTCACTTTTAGTTGAAGATTCCGAGGACCAGGCCTGGGACTCCAGATGTGCAGAACCAGCCATCGTTTTACACCCATTTCCCCTGCCTACCTTGGGAGGGTTTCCAGTGGGAAGAGTAACCTTGTCAGATAGGTCACCACAACCACACTTGCAGTTCAGGACAAAAGGAAGCAGACTCAGCCTTATATTCAACCAGGTGTTTAGGTACTCTCCATGCCAAGGGCCCATGTTGGCTTAGACAGTCTAGGAGCTGTGCTTCCAAAAAAGTAACTTTTCCAAGCTGTGACTTTGCAGCTGGTTGAACAGAAAGGACACATGGGCCAAAGAAGTGGCATAGTTCAAGCAGGCTATGAACACATCATCTGATTTCAAAATGCTTTAATTCTTGCTTGCATCTTGCATGTTTTCATCTACACCCAAATAATATTGAATTGGAATGGGGGAGGGATATTCATTGTCAAAGTTTTTGTTCCTGCAATAGACTTGTCTTGATTTTTAAAACCTTGATGGCATCAATGAAAGCTGCAAACAATGCCCAAAACTCCGAATAAAGATGCAGTCTTGTTTCCGTCTTGTAACTAAGCTACTTTATTTTGTTTAGAAATTGATGAGCCTCCCATCAGCAAGGCCGGAAAAGACATTATCCTCCAGCTGCCAGTTGACTGGGTGATTCTGGATGGCCGAGAAAGCATTGATGACCATGGAATCATACAGTATGAATGGGCGTTGCTTCAAGGTGCTCCTTCCTTTGATATGAAGGTATATAAATCTGTGCAATCCAGGTTAATCATTTGCTGAATTTTATATTGGCATTGTAGAAATTGTAATGCATTTTCCATAGTACAGTTAAGTGAATGAGGTAATTGAGTTGTCTTTGACCTTTTACTCTTTTATGTTTTCTGCAATCCATCGCTTATTTATTATGCTTCTAAGTGTCCCAATAACAAATGCTCTTTGGACAGCAACCAAAATTTTCCCAAGCTCTCTTGTCTCATGCCATTAGCTTCCCAATGGGAGATCCTTTTCCCTTAAAAGCATGTACTCCGTTGTGATTACCAATTATGTCACTATGTTACTATGTAGTATATTTAAATCTGTATGGTATAATTAGAACTACCTGGCTGGATAGTTTAGCGAGTTGGGTCCCTGGGTCAGGAGTTCAGTTCCCACTGTCCCTGTATGGAGAAGGGCCAACCTGTGTAGCCTTGGGTGCACTGTCTGAGAGCACCTCCAGAAGTAGGGAATGGTAAACCAGCTCTAACTACGGTTTACTTAGAAAACCCTGGAGAGTCATATAAGTTGGAATCAACTTGACAGTGTGTAATTATTGTTTTGGTAAGAACTATGTTATGTTTTAGCAAGAATATGAGTCACAGTTAAGGCCATGTTCCAAGAAGAGTTGGATTGTTTAATAAGCCTTGAATTTCTAATATATTCACAACATTATATTTGTTTGACTTCCTTAATCAAAATACCAGAAATGTTTGTTTTAAATGTGTGAGCTTTGCCATGCACAAAAGAAAAACACACATATCTTTCATTTTATTTATAGAGATGACTTCCAAATAACTAATCATTCACTGAATTGGAAGAGTGAATCATTGTTCAGTGTACACATGGAGCTGGAATTGTAGGCGCATAGTGGTTGTTGAGTAGGAAAAAAAAATCAAAGTAGCTATGCAGTGCATGACTAAAACAAAATGCAGAGTTGGATAATAACTTTTATTAGGAACATTAAAATGTTACAAAAGTAAAAGAAAGCAGTGCAATGTTTCAGTTCTCTGGAGCACTTTGAAAGGCAGGATGATACAAATATTAGATGATGGGATCATACACAGATCTTCACAGATTTGTCCTGCTGTGTTAACCATGCAGTGTTTCTCTCTTCCTGCAAGATGTTGAATGCAAGCTGAGTTAAGAATAATGTGTGGAAGCATCAGTTTTTGGGGGATACAAATCTAATGCCCCTTCTCCATCCTTCAGTGAACGGAGGGCTGTCTGAGATTTGGGCAAGTGCCCACTGTGTTTTTCAAAGCCATAGGCTTCTGGCTTTGCTTAAGCAAAGGTTCAAAGAGACTTAGAGATAATTATTTTAAAAATCTTCTTATGCTCCAGTTAAATATTGGAACCCTGCAGGCACAAGAGATCATATGTGCAGAGAGGAATTATTTCCCACCAAATAGCATTTTCCTTCATAAGCTCTTTAAACTTAATTTAACTTCCACAAATTCTTTCAGCTTTAAACCCCAAAATGCCATGGTTTGGCATAAGTCCTATGGTGAGTGCCCATCATAAATCCTATGGTGAGTGCCCATGCCTAATTTAATCCTAATTCTCCTTCTATTGGTCACTGTTTATCCATATTCCAAGGTTCAGTATTCTTGCAATTCCAGTGAAGTATCATAATTGTTGTACTACTTTTGGAAAATAGACAGCAATGATTATCTTGTGACACTGCAATTCTTGGGATCACTTTGAGCATATTAAAACCAAACAGTGCATTCATATGATAAATGGCACAACTATTTTAAGATTTTCTTAAAACAAAAATGGTCACGTTTGATGAGCATTTTGGTGGTCCTTCTCTGGAATTTCTCCAGTTCTATAATATCCCTTTTGAAATGGGAAAAGAAAGCAGCTATGTCTTTATATTCTCTGTGTATATTATGCCTGCAGAAGGATGACGGGGATATTGTCTGAGAGAAAGTTTAGGTAATAGATAACTTCTTTCTTCTGTCCTGTGGCTTTCCAACTCCTGTTTAACCCTTTTCATACTTGGAAGAAATGGAACTGAAGAAAGACATCTTCTGTTATCAAATGCCGCCACCAGATGACATTACTGGCAAGAAAAGATTTTCAGTAATTAAAGACATCCTCCCTCCATCCCAGGGCTCGCATGGTGTCCACACAATAAAAGGAGTTGGAAAAGCTTCAGGACAGAAATATGAAATTTCTCATTACTGAAAATGGCCCTCTGCCAGTAACATCATCATCCTTCCACAGGCTTAAGTTAATGGGATTTCAGCTACTCTATTTCTTAACACGTACTCAGGTTTATGACTACTATTATATAATTCAACAGCTAGGGTGTGGGGATAGGGTGTTCTCAGTTATAATATTGGTTTCTTTTTAACAGGTACCACAGCCAGGAACTCTGAAGCTTTCTCATTTGCGTGAAGGAAAATATGTGTTACAGCTGACTGTGACTGATACTGCTGGCCAAAGGAGCTCAGATAATGTCTCAGTGACAGTACTTCCAATGGTTCACTCTGGATTAGGTAAGAAAACGTGTGTAAACGTCTGTTTTTGCATGTGATAGTGAGCATGTAAGTTAGTCAATTGCTATGAAGCAGAGGTAGGAGTGAGATTGTATAAAACTGGGATTAAACCCATGGGTATATGTTTGATATACATTGACAAACTGCAGAAGGGGACAGGGCTCCTGAAGCTTCAGTAGCTGTGTAGAAGAACATCATTAGGTCTAGTCTGAATGGTACACCTGCTGAAAAAACTTCCTTGCCTCGTGGCGCAGTGGTTAAAACGCTGTACTGCAGCTAAAACTGTGCTCACGACTGATTACCCTACTGAAAAATTGTTCTGTGGTCGCAGATAAATTGCAGCACAAGCATGATATTTGAGACTTAATTTTTTAAAAAAAGATCCTTAATTTTTACAGGGTGTAGGTTTATTTTATTTGTTCAGAGTCTGCATCTTCATCTTTTCAGACAGGTTTTCATTTTGTCTATTGTTGCTAAAATAACTACAACAGCTCCCCCCGCCTCCCCACAAATGACAGAGGTGCCAGGGTGACATCACTTCTGTAGCTACCCTTATCTAATTCTTGGTTCAGTGATTCTGTTTTCTTGTAACATGACCATTGATAGGATGTGCTGGAACTTGTTCACGCTACCAGTTCCTCTGTGATGATGGCTGCTGCATTGATATCACCTATGCCTGTGATGGAGAGGAACATTGTCTTGATGGCTCTGATGAAGCTTTTTGCCAGAAACGTGAGTGCATAGGACATCTAAATCCTCGTTTGTACACTTGATATACGTTAGCTTAGGAGTCACAGCTGGGATTGCAGATGGTTCAGTTGACAGAGCATATGCTCTCCATGTAGGGGCTCCTAGGTTTATAACACCTCTGTTTCAGACTAAGTATGAGGAGAGGCTGAACAAGAATCACATTGAAGACCTATGAACCAGCATAGAAATTGGAATTCCTTCAAACAAGCTTCGGGTCAAACTATATATTATGGGGAATGTGTACTTCCACCAAATAAATCTGTTTTCCCTCCCACAGTGGGATTGCCCCAAGGATACTAGCTGCTTTTATTTTATTTTTTTACAAAAGGTATATGGCACTCATACACATTTTTACCCATCTGTGCCACCACCAAAATGACAACCACTTTCGTATTAAGTTGGAATTCCTGTTTGAACCTATGAACTGGGCTCCCTTCTCTTGGATTATTCATATTTTCAGTCTTGTCAAACAGCCCTTTTGCACTGTGGTTCAAGCACTGCCACATCTGAGGGTTGACTTTGCATGGTGTTTTTAAAAACAGTAAGAATGGTTCTAGTGAATAACACAGCCTTAGTTCCTTTGGTTACAGTACTGTGTGTTGTAACGCTGATCAGCGGCATGCATGGGTATAATGTCTTATGATTGCTACTTCTTGGGGGAGGAAATGCCGGGGTTTGTGTAAAATACATTTATTTTAAAAAACACAAAGAAAAAAAGTATTAATTCACAGGTAGAAGTAAAGTATAAAACCATTTTTGAATGTCAAGGTCTTTATCATATAGCCCAGTGGTTCCAAACCTTGGGTAACCCAGATATTGTTGGGTTGCAGTAACCAGATTCACCACCAGTTATGCTGGCCAGGGTTTCTGGGAGCTGCAGTACAAAAACATCTGGATTACCCAAGGTTGGAAACAATAATATAACTATCTTCTTATACCACCTGCAAGACTATTTGTCCATCTAGCAGACATTGTCTACTCCATCATGAAATGACTGACCAGGGGGAGCTCAGGACAGGAACTCATAATATCACTGACTGTCTGAGCCTTTTAACTGGAGACATCGGAATTTGGACCTGATTCCTTCTGCATCCAAAGCATGTCCTCTGCAGATGAAGCACATTTTTCCCTTTTTACCTTTTTTGTATGGGTACCTGGATACATTGTTCCACCTATAGAAAAGCATTGATAGAACTAGATAAGATGAGATAGGCATCCTTCACTCTCGAGAGACTATGGTAACATGCTCTGAATCGAGGAGTGTCCTCTCCAGAGCATGAAGCCTAGGTAAGGTAATATGGAGGATAGGCTGTTACCCAAGCAGCAGATCCCCCCTCTCCACATTGCTGAAATGGTCCAATGGAAAGGCAAGAGCCAATACAACTGGTTCCAGCAATGTCGCAGGAGTTGGCAGAACGACACATGCTGCCTTCGGGACTCCAGCTCCGGATTTTGCCTCGAGGTTAACTCCTGAAGCCTTTTCCATGAGTGGATATAGAGATGTAGAATTTGTTTACAAACTTGCATGCTAGCAGTGTGAAGTCATAGGCCTTTAAATTTTGATAAAGAGAGTTATTTTTTAAATGTACCAACGTTGGGACAGGAGCAGCTGAACTGTGACCCTGTATTAGAGGAAGGCCTCTCAACCAGCAGTTAATACTTGTCAGAGTCGGCAGTACTGCCTATTTGCATGGTATTGTACTACTGGATTGAGATTTTCTTCCTCCAGGCACCAAAAACTGATTGCCCACATCCTCTGCTCCACAGAAGAGCATTTGTTGAGAGGAAGGGGACATGATAAAGGTAAACTCTGTTTCTTTATGCAAGTCCTGCCTGCCTAGATTTGACCAGAAATGTTTCCTTTCTGTAAAGAGAATCCTCTTTTGTATTGTTTTTGGGAGTTTTTTTTTAACCACAATAAAAGCTGTTTGGGTTTTATTTTCCCTCTGTCCAGTTAACCCAGGACAACATACAATAACGCAGGCAGCCATTAGCTCTCTCCAGCAAAATACCATTGAGCACACAAAAGATGCCAACAAAGAGCTTACGTTGGAAATCACCCAGAAAACGACTGTAACCGGCCATACACCTAATGCCAACAAGTTCAACCAATCACCCTCTCAGGGACCAAAGAAACAAACTACTGGGTATTTACCAGGTAAGATGAACAGTACGGTTCTTTGACAAATGTGACATTTAATTTAAATTAATTGAAAGCTTCCTATTCTCCTCTTTCAGGTTCCAAATCTCCCTAGGACCCTGGGGAAGATTCTGTGAGTCTCAGGATTATGTATATGTGGGACCCTTAGTAGATAAAAATTGCTGCTGATTGCTGCTAGCAATCCCCCCAGGGCAAAGGGGAATCTTAGGGAGCCTTGAAACTTAAAAGGGGAGAGGAGAGGACACTTTTAATTGATTTAAATTAAATATAGGTCACCCCACAATGATGTTATATAGCTTGAATTGCATAAATTGTTGCCAAGAAGATTCCAGCTAATAAATACCAAATATTAGGAAAGCTAATTGTTGACTTGTTTTTATATGTCAAAACATATTTGTTACATTCATAGTTTCTTTTCCTGCTACAATTACAGAGCAATGCTTGATGCCTGCATCTGCTGGTCCATGTAACGGGCACTTCCCTCGCTGGCATTTTGATGCTTTTTCTGGCACTTGTGTACATTTCATCTACGGTGGCTGCAAAGGCAGTGAAAACAACTTTCTTCAAGAATCTGACTGCCTTGCTGAATGTGTAAACATTCATGGTAATAATCAGTCACTGATAATGTTTTTAAAGATCACAATACAGTATTACATTGTTCTGTAAACCCCTTGGAATTCTGACAGTTGCTATTTTTAGAGTCTTTTATAAATGGATAGGAGATTTGCAGGAGTAGCCAGGAACACAACTTTGCTTGCGTAATTCATCTGCTGTTTGTTTGTTAAAATATATGGACGGGGAACATTCTTTAAAGATAACTTTTAAAATGTTGTTATGTTAGACTGTGAAAAAGAGAAATGCATTGAGGGCTTGTGGTTTAATCTGATGTCAGACTTACAGTGGTGGCTACTGGTGAATGTCCAATTGAAAATGCAGGACTGGTTCAAGCACGAAGAGATACAACAGTAGTCTATATGTCATTCACTTGTATCTTTGCTTTGTTCCCTGCTGACACCTTAGGTGCTGTTATGAAGTACATTTTGTATCTTCGTTTAGATTGATAAAGACTGTGATCCACTATTTTTGTATGAATTTTTATAGAAGACTTGAATAGATTTTTATGGAGGCTTCTGAGACTTTTGAGGATATTTTCTTATTTTTATAAACAGATATTAAAAATGGCACTGTATAGCATCTAGGAGACCAAAGTTTCTGCAAAATATATATCTCCTGTAGTAACTTAAGTGGTAGCACTCAGCACAAGAAAAGCAGACTTTATCAAATTACCCACTCCACAGATATTAAAAGCCTATTTGATTATTGGGAGGAATATTCTTCTTATCATATCCTCCTTCACAGAGGAGCATTTGATAGAGACTGGTGGTCACGTCATTTGAATGTGGATGTATATAAACAGTATTTTAGATGCTCCTTAGATGTCTAGGATAGCAGTCCACAGATAATTTTGAACCAAACCTGTCTAGCACTTCTACTGCTTTGTAGTAGTTTGTTTACAACATATTTGGTTGAGAAATTTCCGGGCAGGAAATGCAGCAACAGCAGTTGTCAGCACCCACAGCTGTGCCAATCTGTTTCTTGCAGCCAAAATGCCTGCTAGTTCTGGCATATGTCTCATATAGGAATACCAGCCGCAGGATCAGCGCAGTGTTATATGCCTTTGCTGATGTGATTGTGTAGGTTTGTACCACATCATTGCTATAAAGTGTTGCATATAAAAGGTATAAACCAGACTTCCCACCAGCTGAGTTCCACTGATATGTTCCCGAGAGGAAGTGGCTATTTGCCAGTGCCTTGGTTCTTCTGCAGCCCCCCCCCAAAAAAAACTATCTTCCATGATTGTTTCAGAGTTTTGCTTTAGGGAGGAAGGGAAAAGTCGTAAAATGAAACCCTGCTACCTATCCTCTAGCAGGATTTTGTTTTGTTTTAAAGGGGGAAAGAGGAATCTAGGCCCTCCACCAAGTCTCAAAAATAGATAATGTCTGATTCTGGAACCTTATTTTGACCAATGTAGGTCATTTTTGTCCAGTTTTTAAAAATGTTTTTCTACTTGAGGGACTCTGGATGTACACACTAAGGACTATGTGCCCACAGGGTGCAACAGCTAAGATCACCCGAAGTTCATTTTTCTCTTCTTTATCTAGACTGCTTTCTCTAGATTCCTTCCTCCATTTCACAATCTCACCTTCCTCTTTCTAGGCATGTAGGATAGTGTAGCATCCCAAACATATATCTTTTCTCTCCAGATGGATTTCTTATAACAAACTTAAGCCACAGTCACACCAGGGAAATGTTCACCACTTTTAGAATACTTCCCATAAGTTTGATGTAATACATTGCGATCATATGGTATATATACCTGGATGAACATCCCAATGTGTTTTGACATTACTGGTTCATTTCCTTCCATTTGAATATTATGGCCAGCTACACCATGGTACTGATTTATTTTTTCTCTTGTTTTTTGGGCACTGAAGCCTCTTTTAAAAAAAAATCAAACAGTACATCAATATGTCTAGTAGACATGCAGTGGTCCCATTAAAATTGGCAGGACATATTAAGACTAATGGGTTGTATTTAAAAATAAGGGACTAAATCAGGTCTCACTTCCTCTGGATCTACCTTGGACAGAAAAAGCTCTGTCCTCCACTTGCAGCCTTTTTGTTGTCCCTGCATCACATTCTCTAGTATGCTTTGTTGGACATTATTAGTTTTATCATGTATATCAAAATGTGGCATAAAACAAAATTAACTGGAGAAAGACAAAGCAACTAACACAAAAGAATTTATTGCACCATTCCTTCCAGTTCTGCATGCTGCCAATTCCTTCTAAAACATAATCTTTCGGGGGGGCGGGGAGAAAGCAAAACTATAAGGAGATCACTTCTAAATGTAGTGTGGGCTGATGTTATTTTACAGGACAGTTTGTACTGCTGGGTGAGTTACGGATTGTAGTGGAAAGTATTTCTTCAATAATTGAGATGATGAATAATAAATATAGCAAATGCTTTGATTTTGCAGATTCTAGGTCCTCAGGGAAAGGCACAGATGATAAGAATGAAAGTGACATTGTGGTGTTAAAGGGCAATTCCATTGATAAGAGCCATCCAGTCCCAGAAACAGGTAATAATGAGGCAGCATTTTCCAACTAACATTTTATTTTCCAAATGGCTAGATCTAGCTACTTGTGTAAGAAAAGTTATAGATGGCAGCCATCCAGATAATGATGGCAAGTCTACAGCAGAACCCTCCAGTTTCCCACCAAACAGCTTTCAATGGCATGCGGCCTCTGATAACAACTGGGATATAAAGCCTCCAGGACTCCTTGCCATTTATAGCCTTACCCTCCAACAGTTTGTCTATCCTCTCTTAAGAGTTGCAAATGCTGGAATCTTGGAGGAGTTTAATTATGTGCTGTATGAAGTGTAGCTTTCTTTTATCCTTTATATATCTTTGCACCATTTTGCTTCAGTGGATAACCCCATATTCTAGTTTACAATCAAGATACCGTATTTTTCGCACCATAAGACGCACTTTTCCCCCACAAAACGGGGGTGGAAAGTCTGTGTGTCTTATGGAGCGAAGAAAACATTATATTTTACTGTTTTCTTCTCCTAAAAAATTGGTGCGTCTTATGGAAAGGTGCGTCTTATGGAGCGAAAAATATGGGTAAATGTAACTCTGTTCACCTTTTCTGTACCATGCATGATTTTGCACACCCCTCTCCTAACTCCCTTTAATAATCATGTGCTGTCAAGTCAGTTCTAACATGGCAACACTTTTCAGGGTTTTCCAAGTACAGAATACACAGAAATGGTCTACCATTCTCTTTTTTCTGGTGGCATCCTGAGAGTCTGCAGCTTGCCCAAAGCCACACAGGCTGGCTCTACTCACAGAGGCACAGTGGGAAATTAAACCCCCAACCACTGAGCTATTCAGCCAGATTGAGTCACCTTAGTTGACATAGATGTTGCGTGGTTTGGTTTTCTCCATATTCCCATGTTGTTACTTCCACAGATGAATATCCTCATTCCTATAAATTGCCCTTAGATTGTCCAGCACCACTTTGTAATCTGTCTGGAGAGTTCCATATCTCACATCTAGCATTATATCCTGGCAGTAGCAGTCACTTGGGTTCATGCATTCCATTAGGTGGGTAGGTCTAGCTTTCCATAGCCTGGCTATCTCTGGTCAAACTGTTAGTGCTGTAGTGCTGTTTATGAGGCTCTTCCTAGATTTCAATCTTCTCCTCAGAGGCTAGGTAGTATACCTTATCTACAGAGGTTGGCTTAAAACACTGTGTAATAAGCCTACATAAGTCTGCTATAGCTAACATGTTTAGCATGTTGTACCACACTGGACAAGTATATTCAACAGCATTAAAATGGAGGGCCAGGGCTGACATTTGCAGAGTTTGGGGACAGGTTTCCCAGTCAGTTCCAGAAAGTTTTCTTTATAGGCAATTCCTGGCAGCAACTTTATCCTTGATGTTTAAGCAATTTTTTTTTAAATGTCAGTGTCTGCTCCAAAGTACAACCTCAATATTTTGGAGAGTAACAATGCTCCAGCTATGCGCCCTCCACACAGGCTATTTGCACATTTAAGACATTAAATGTTTATTGTCCCTACAGTAACAACATGATGCTACAATGTTAAATTTGTAAGTAAGTAATTAAATAAATAAATAAAAGCTTGTCTTGTAATTCCCATTGAGCAAGGTAACTTCCAGATGGAAGATTCTGTGCATCAGTGATCAAAAAATATTGTACTTTTACTTTACTTTTATTTGGATTTTTACCCCGCCCCCCCCCCCAGACAAAGTCTACTCGGGGCGGCTTACATACATAAAAACATAGCAAAACAACATCCTAAAAACATTTAAACATCAAATTTTTAACAATTATATTGTATAGGGCATCTTCATCCATAACTCCAGCACTGATCCTTGTACTTGAAAGACACTTTGCAGGATGTGGAAATGCTTTATCAAGCTACAAGAGTTGCCTGCTGACTATTGTTAATCTATCTGAATGTAGGACAATGCCTAATGAGGGAAGGTTTCCAGTGTACTGACATAGAGTTGCTTCACACCTATGTTACTCAGCTTTATTTATCACATTCTTGACAAGTTCTAGTGTTAACTGCTTCTAACGTACTGCTTTCTTTTAGGTGCTGTGCTTCCTCTGGCTCTGGGACTGGCCATCACTGCTTCGCTGCTGCTCATGGTAGCTTGCCGATTGCGGCTAGTGAGACAGAAACTTAAGAAAGCTCGGCCCATTATGTCTGAGGAATCAGATTACCTCATAAATGGGATGTATCTCTAAAGCAGGATTCAGGTTACTTCACTTCTCTCAATCCTTCTAAAAAGAAAGTGTGCCTCTTACATCTTACATTTTTTTAAAAAGTAAAAAAAATTCATGTTTAGAAGAGAGAACATCAGTATATTTCTTTTTTATGTCTGCGGTAGAATAAATGTGTATAGCTGAAGTGGCATGCAGAATGGCTTCCTCTGCCATAGCTGTAGGACTGTCCTATGCTTGGCAATAAGACAGGTTCCATCTTCGTGTGTTGTGTATGTAGCAATGTCACAGAGCATTTTAACCCATATCTCAGGTGTGCAGGGTAAACACCACTGGGGCTTGTGGTATGGTGGCCAAAATACCTGTAGAACCCAATGTAAATGACTTACTCATGAACCTGCTCTCTTGTTACATTCCATCTTCACCCAGCTCCAGTTTTTGAAATAGCTTATAGCAATGTTACTGCACCACTTACTATATTGGTGTCTGTTGCTGGCATGGCTGCTCCAGTGTGATGACCTGAGACCCTGATGCCAATAGGACGGCACAGGTCAGGCCATGGGCTAATACATCAGTGATATCAGATTCCTAACATGTTATTTGCTGGTGTGCCAGCTAGCAACATTAGGTCTTAAGTGAGAAATTAATCTGTTTCTTTTTTCCAGAATTTCTTTACTAATTTCAATCATTTATTATGATTATGATTATTGACACATGACACTAGTCAATTTAGGATGGGTCAAAAAGAATAAATGTGTATAGCTGAAGTGGGATGCAGAATGTCAATATTACTTCACCCTATGGAACTAGAGCAGTAAGACAGTTATACTTTGAGGTCTTGCCCTCATAGGTCATTCACAGTAGACAGTATACACCTGGAAATGCCTGTGTTATAGTGCATTGGTAATGGGCCACACATCCACATATATGATTATTTTTCCACATTCTCCTTAGTGCTGCCAGCCTTTACTACACACAAGCTGTAGACAGACACTTATTGGATGACTCGTGCGATAGTTGTGAAGTTTTAGTTCACATAATTAGAAGGTTAATTGCTAATTCTCTTCCTTCTTACTTACCTAATAAATACTGTACAGGGTTTTAGAATTATAAACCTCTGTCCTCCTATCTCTAAAGCAAGATATGCCAATTCCATCTTACTGCTCTAAAATAACTAATTAATAGACTGCTTTGCACTTACCTAATGGCAGTGACAGATGTATGTTTATTTCAGGCTTATATGTGTTTCTTCCAAATTCAGAGCTATTTGTATTCTCATTCCTATATATTTTTTAATCTTTTTAAAGGGGGACGTGTAGCTTTGGCTAAAACAGCATAAGGAACAAGGTTTAGTAAGTCCACAAGGTAAAATAGAAGGTAAACATGTTTACTTGTACACTAGTCTGCCCATATATTACTGATTTGTAGCACTTAGCCTGAAAGAAAGTAAGGAACCCACTTTCAGCTAGAGTACCATTTGACTGCCTGCCTAAAGGCACTTTGTATTGGCCATCTGACTTTTATCATACTACCCCGCAGAAGTACTGGATTTCATTTAGGTGAAAGATTAGGCCGGCCACTTCATTAGGCAGAGAGCGCTACAAGTGGGCTTTAATAATTCACACAGCAGAAAGAAAGCGCATTTAAAATGTTCCCTTACCTGGAGCATCCAGTGAATTAAAAAAAACCCTCAAAACATAACACAGCATGGAAAAACTCTATAACCATGTCTCTTTGTTATGCTAGTTTTCTCAAGAGATTTCTTTTGCATTGTTAAACTGAAGAATGTTAAAAATACGATACCGACCTTAAGTCTGAAGTGGTACTGCCTTACTTTTCAAGATTCTTGTACAGAGGTAGGTAAAAAGGTAAAGGTAAAGGTTCCCCTTGACAATTTTTGTCCAGTCGTGTTCGACGCTAGGGGGCAGTGCTCATCCCCATTTCCAAACCATAGAGCCAGCATTTTTTGTCCAAAGACAATCTTCCGTGGTCACATGGCCAGTGCAACTTAGACACAGAACGCTGTTCCCTTCCCACCGAGGTGGTCCCTATTAATCTACTTGCATTTGCATGCTTTCGAACCGCTAGGTTAGCGGGAGCTGGGACAAGCGACAGGCGCTCACTCCGTCGCGTGGATTCGATCTTACGACTGCTTGGTCTTCTGACCCTGCAGCACAGGCGTCTGCGGTTTAGCCCGCAGCGCCACCACGTCCCCGTACAGAGGTAGTCCAGGTCTTAATTTCATCAACTTTCCTCTTTGCTGCGATGAACAGTAAGCTTTCCATGTAATATTGACTACCTATATCCAGAAAGTGTTGAGATCTAATTTCACCCTCCTGAAAGCTTTAATATCTAGACCATTTGAAAGCTCCTCCACTTGTCTAAAGAATTCAGTGTCTGACTGAGATGTAAATGGTGTTAAACAATAGACTCTGTATTTCAGTTGTTGTGTGTGAACTGTCCTCTTAGGCAACTGTATAAAATGTGTTACAGTCAAAGGCCCAAGTACAAATCAGTGCAGAAGAGGCATGTGACTATTTGGTATGTCCTATTTTTAATGAAATCACCACATTGACTTCTGCCACAGACTCCCAAATTGCCAGTATCTCAATCTATGTAAAATAAAAATAAACTTATTTTATTCCTAATCCCTTGTAGAATACTGTTTTTCATTTTGACAAAAGTAAGTTATAAACACTTAAAGAGAAGATGCATTGTGTATTACTGCAAAGTTAATAAAGTTGAGCTTAGAGATAAAACTAAAAGTCATACTAAACACAATAGCTGCATGCATTTCTTGCTGCATCTTTCTCCCATTCCCATTTAAAACCACATTTTGCATTAAATATTAAAAGAAATGAGGTTCAAGTCACTCCCAGTGTGCAACTGACAAAACAAGTAATGGTCCGAAGCAAGCAAGAGGAAGTAAAGTTGGAAAAGAGTTATATTAACATACCAGTTCATATTTTTCTATTACATTTCATCCAACCCTAAAAGCCTTCACTTTATTCTTTATACACAAACTGGGTAGACACAAAGAAGATGGCTTCTTTTATTGCAACTCCAGCTCTTGGCCCTATTGGCCATATTTGGATGTCATAATAAGCCAGGGTATGTGGGGAACCCTTGATTTTGATAACCAGCATGCTTGTGTCTGGCTGTTTCTGGCTAACCAAACCACGGCAGTCTGGCTCATTCTGCCATAACAAGGCAAAAGGAAACCAAAGAACAACATCTGGATTCTACAACATCTGTGGCTTATATAAGAGAGTCAAGCACAGCACCCGATGTAGCCAGATTGCAATGATTCAGTTAAAAAAGTATAGAGTGAAAGCCCATGGTGTTCTTCAGCTGCTACCACAAGTAAGGGACGACTGGGCAACATGTATCAGTATGTTGTTTGCCCATAGTAAGCCAAAGTTCTTGTAGTTCCATGGTTTATCACAGAACTTGAGCACAATACAGTATATTACAAGTAGGACATTGCCTGTGATGGTACCAGGGGAGTGGGGGAGGTAAGGATGTGGTCATTTTTATATAGTAGTATAACCAGTACAGTATAGTAATTCCTAAACCATATGTGATTCATTTTTTTGGAGTGCTATTCAGAAAAACACCCCACTGGATTGCAATCTGCTCAGGACTTGAGATGCTGATAGTGTATTCCTTTCTACATTTACAAAGTTACAACCTCAACTGTTCCTGTGAGTGTTTGCATCTGCATGCCAGGCTCTTACAAATGGCTTCTATAATTTCTATGAGAGCATGGCAGTAACCAGTGATTATGAACTGTCATCATGAATGAATCTTCATCTTCCCTTCTATTTAATTATTTTAATTACAAATGCAAGTTAATAAGAACTGTGCTCCAGCTTCATATTCACACTAACATCTATGAGGCTACAACTTCTGTCTTTCCTCAGTAACTGTTATAGTACAATCTATCAAAGTAAAAAAAAATGCATACAACCCTTTCAGATTGTGGTCTGTCTCAAGTGAGCTGCCTTTCATCTTGTACAAACAATTTAAGATATATATATTTAAGATGGTTTCTGCTGACCAGGAATACAGCAAGATGTGGATTTAATAATTTAACCAGATTTAAGACTAATGGTGTTACCTGTTCCAAGCTATTTGCATGGACTGGGTTACAAATATGAACAAATCACTAAAAATGAAGGGCACATTTGAAGGTGATCACCATCTTGCTCATATGCATGGCTTTATCCCTATTTGCTTAACTAAACAGATAAAACCTAGCATAGAAAGGCTGATACAGTTAAACCTTTTCTGCAGTGGTATTCTCAGGTCATCATACCTGTAATAGGCAATGCAAATGTATCTCTGATCCTGCTTTTTCTTGCATAAACTGTTTTTCTCCTCAATACTATTCATTTTATTCTTGTCAGAACTCCCAGTGCCTTTTGGGGCAGGCTGTACTTTGCTGTATTGCTATGTTTTCAAACATTAGAAAACAAAACAAAGCACCATTACATGTTGTGTATTTCCTATTTTAAAAACCCAACCAATGCTAATACTAATTTGGCAAGTGGGATCAATGTGGCCTGGAACAGGTGAATCTTAATTTATTATTTTATTTATTATTTATTTATTAAATTTATACCCCGCTCATTTAGACCCAAGTCTACTCTGGGCAGCTAACAATTAAAAATGGCATAAAAGCAATAAAAAAAAATAGAGAACAACAATAGTAATATCATTCAAGATGGGGAAAAGATTAAAAAAAATAATCAAGTGATGACAGGAGGGAAAGCCTGCCTAAAAATCCAGGTCTTAAATTGGCTCTTAAAAGGACAATATCTCACATTCCTAAACTAGAGATTTTTTGAAAAAGAACTAAATTAGAACCAGCTTTGCTGGTCTGGATTAGGAAAGACATATAACTTAATGCAATGTGATTTTACTCAGAAGAAGAGCTTAATTTTGATTGCCCCAGTGCCTGACAAATTGCAACAGCCTCAAAACATGCCATGATGCAAGTTCTTCAGTCTGTAAGTGCATATATATCATCAGAAGAAGGCTTTGGACCACTTTAACTTTACAATGAAATTCTAGCCATAACCTTTTTCTACTGAATTAAAAGCATACCCTTATCTCTTAAAGTGGCATCTCAACATCTGTCATACACTGATTTAAAGCAGGAATGAACGGCCAGCAGCTCTTGGGTAGGAAACCTGAGCAGAGCTTGGCTTAGCAAAGTCTCAAAGTCTTCTAATTTAGGATTTCTCCCATGTGTATCGAAAAAAGCATAGGTGCAGCTAAGTAATTTTAGACTATACTTAAAGGTCACACTGAGATGTAGTTGTTACTTTGTATTACTTCATTGAAAATGCTTTTTGAACCCTTTCTTAGTTTTTCTGTTTAGCCATTTGCTATTGTTTATGGAGGGGTGTACAGGTCCCATATCTCTCTTGCTCTGGAAACTTCTTGCTGTTTCGGTCTTTAATTTTTGTTGTTCATATGCTTATTTGAAACACTCTTTCTATGCAGCTTTGTGGCACAAAGCACCACACCCCCTAATGACCCCACCCAGCGGCCTCATGTAGATATTAAATAGCATTGGGGAGATAATTGAGCCCCACAGAACCCCACAATTGAGGCTCCACGGGGCTGAAACACTCTCCCCAAGCTGTACGCTCTGAGGATGGTCCTCCAAGAAGGATCGGAGCCAGGCAAGCGCCAGACCACCAATTCCCAACTTGGAGAGCTTCCCCAGGAGGATAACGTGGTCGACGGTATTGAAGGCGGCTGAGATATCGAGGAGGACCAACAAAGACATTTTGCCCAGCAGGTCATCCAACAGGGCAACCAGCGTGCCCTGAACCTGACTGGAATGGATCCAGGGCATTGGTTTCAACCAAAAGAGCCTGGAGGCTCTTTTAATATCATGAGGCAAGTTTTGTCTACCTTTCTATTATCACTGAACAGCTGCAAAGGTTTTGAGCAGAGCTATATAAATTGATGATCCCCTTCCCCCACTTTCTCACTCGGCAGTGGTCCTATTCTTATCATTACTGATGCATATGCTAGTAATGAAGGCTGAACATGTGTTTAAACAGTAACACATGAACAGCAGTAATTGCAAACATAACCATGGTATTAATTCTTGCACATACCCTATCCAATGGTTCAAAGGATAGCTCTAAAAGTGCCGTATTTGATTCTCCCCATATTTTACAACCAGTACACATTTGTTGTACACTTTTTAAATTACATTTTGTATATTTTAACCATATAATATTTTTATGAACAGGCTGTACACTTTTAAATTACATTTTGTCTATTTTAACCACATAGTATGTTTTATGAATTGGTTATATATTTTTAAACAGCATTTTGTATATTTAAGCCATAAATATGTTTTATGAGCTGGTCACCTGACCATAATAAACAAGTTCTTCTTCTTCTTCTTCTTGCACATACCTAATAATTTGTACTGCCTGGAAAAGAAACTATCTCTATGCTATACCCTTTATTTCTAACTAGCAACAGCAAAATGTTCTTAGAACTTTGTGAGATATGTCACTGTAAACTCTTTCTTCATACTTAATTTATTTTCAGATCTTTACCTTTCACCCACCTCTTTTTGTGTTAGCTCACATTTTAACCAAAAGATGCGCGATTTCTACAATCAGAATAAAGCAGCTAAATAATGCTAAATTCAGGTTTTTAATCAGTACACCTAAAGCTAGTGGCTCAGCGGCACAGCTACTCCATCTAAGATAGTAGCAAAATAAAAAAAAACCCTTCCTTTCTCTACTGTTCTTCCTCTTCCACTTTTTCCTTTCCTGCCACAGGTTAGACTTCATCAAGACTCTTCCTAGTTTTGATGTGGCACTTCTAAACAATGATGTTATGTTACTTTCAAACCAGGTTTTCTCCTTTCTGTAATTTTTTCCATTTATCTAGCCTCAAATGCTAAGCTGTAACTGATAGCTACTGTGATTATTTTCCCTCCATTTCTTAATGCCTTCAGGACCATGAAACTAGGGGTCCAAATCTGAGCGGGAAAATACAAAAAAATCTAACCAAAAAGAGAGAAGATGAGAGATAAGAATTTTTAAAACTGAAAACAGGTAACACAGTGTGCTATGGAAATACAAAATCTTGAGAGTCAGAAGGCGTTCCTAATGCTGTTGACCACACAGCAGAAAAAAAGGAACTGAAGATAATGTGGTTAGTAATACTAGTGTGCATACACACAGCTGGTGGGCAGTTTCTCCACCAAAACTTCATTCAGCTGTAGGAAGTTCTAAATATGTGCAGGTATAAGATCCATAAACATGAATCTACAACCACAAAGATGGCTGTGATTGACTTATTGATCTACAACAGCATTACAAATGAAAACATTTGGTGGAGATGTACATTCTTCTATTAATGCACATGTAGCAAAAGTTTTCAAACAGAAGGTTATTATTCTGAAGCAGATTTATCAATGCCAAATACATAATGAAAAAGGAAAAGCTGTTTCCAGTTCAACATGAAGGCAACATGAGCATTGCCACATTCCTGAATGTGAATTGTAGGTTTTATCCTATTTTCAGCAGCAGCTTAACTATCAAGAAATTTCCCCCATGCAAAAGAGTATTTGCAACATCTTTTAGTTTTGAATTTTATTTGGCAAAGCAGCACTGCATAAACTGTTCAATGATGAGGACATAGCTTACACAGTAGTATGTTAAATTCAGGTACATCATCGTTTGCAAGTCTGCTACAAACAGTACTTAACTATGAATGTCTATATAACTATATGAGAGAAGGCAGGGGGAAACTATGTCAGTTATGTCCATCCCGAACAGCAGTTTATACAACAAGAAGTGTCACTTCTGATGTCTTGAAGTCTATATACATGGTTTCTGATTTTTTTTAAAGGGAAGAAAACAGCTGATTGTGTATACTACATGCTAGTCTATGACACCACCTTGACAGCTTTGAAGAACTTCATATTATTTAGTAGCATCCAGAAGACAGCTGAACACAAAGAATCTTATAGTGTGCATGTAGTGTTAGAAAGTGCACACAAGCAGTTTGATGGATGAACACTGGAACTGAAATAAGTGTTCAAAGTTTCTCAATCCAAAATAAAATGTAACGAATTGCAGGTTTAACTGCATTTCTGCAGATACATTTCACTTTCCCAGGCAGGTGAAAATAAGGGCATGTTGAAAGGAAACATTTGCCCAAATTTAAACTTTCCCTCAGTTCATTATCAAACTTGCATTAAACCTCTACAAAATAAAAAACATCACACTTTTCCATGCTGATAACAGTGTAACAAAGTCCAAAACAAGCTGCAATGCTGTTGGTTTTGAAAAAGCTTTTAAGAATTGGAGATGAGCAGTCCACTGTTAACACTATGTTCAGGTCAGATGAAGTAGCTTTTACATTTCATCCCTGCAAAAACAAACGACAAGAATTACAACTCTAATCTTTGAACTTAATGTAATTAAATGGCTACCCCCTTTATGAGGGAGTTAATGTCTTAGCTTTTTGAAAATATTTTACAGTACTAGAAATTTATTTGAAGCTATATGGTCCAATCATGTTTTGCAGCTGTATAAAAAGCTACCAATTGACAATTAAACCTCACACTGGTGGTACGAAGATGTCCCTGTGCTAAAACTTGTTTTGCCCACGTACAGGTGAAGGCAACACTCTCGGCCAAACTAGATATTAAATGTGTGTAAACACTAGCATATCTCTCTGGAGTCAGGTGCAAACAGCAGGTGGTTTGCCCAGAGTAGCAGAAAGCAAGGAAGGATTAAATATCACCCATCATTCCTGATTTTTTCAATACAACCTAACTCTTACTTCTTCAAGAAAACAGAATCAGCTGTTAGGGCAAATGATACACTAATCTGGACCCTAAGTAGAGTAGCACACTCAGATCTGAGGATTGATTGATTGATTTTCAGGTTTGCCAAGTGATATTGAAAAAACACATTGCTTCAGCTGAACTCCTTAAGAATGGCATCGCTGGTTCCCCTTAAAAAAAAAATAAGGGCATCCAAGTAACTCGCCAACTACAATGCAGTATATAAAGCACTGCTAGTTTTGTAGAACAGTTTCTTCATCTGAGTTTAACATATCAGTCCAGGTCTTGACTTTCTCACCTAACTTTAATATTTCTGTCTAGGACTCAAACGTGCATCACTGACAAAACTGAAACCATAGATTAGAATTCTGAATGGAATAGATTATTTGTATCTTCTCTAGCAAATGCTATTACATATTGAAAATAAATCTGTTATCATATTCATAGTAGGTATAATAACATCAGAAAATGTGCTTGATTTTATGTTACAAGTTTCTGCTTTACTGAATTATTTTTAGAATATCAATTCAATAAATACTTATTCACATACTCCTCGGCCTGTTTGTAACAAATGCAGTCCAGCAGCCAGCATACAAAACACTCTATGCCTACAAACCATAAAGCATCTATATGTAAAACCACTTACATTTGCAGCATTCTAGCATGGAATGAGAGCATGCACAATTGAATTCTAAAAGGCATATCTGCACAGAAATGGAAAACTGGAAAAGTGAAAGAGAGTACCCAAAGGAGTTACTGTTTTTTTTGCAGGACTTTTTATTATTATTATGTGCCTATTCACCCTTCTGAACTCCCATGGCTTATCAAGCCTGTAACCCAGCACAGGTTTGAGAAGACCAAATTAATATCAGACACACACCCTCCAACAGTGTGCAGTCATGCCTGAAGATACTTTTTTAAATTAATGCATTGCACATTTCAGGAGTCTTTCAGATGGTCTGCCTTACAATAAAATTGCTAACAAAGCATAACAAATGTTTATTAATTTGTTAGTGCTACCTCTTTATTCCATTAAAGTCCTAGATGGCACTGATGTTTCTCTCTTTGTGTCATTACAGTTAATAAATATATCAGATAGTTTTCACCCAGCAACAGCAAGAGCATTTTGGGCAGCTAACATCAAGTGTTCCATAGTTCATATTGAGAGGCATAAAGCACATTGACAAGGTGTTCTTCTCCACATTCATAAAGGACTGTTGATGCAAATTCCTCATTTTCTTAGGTTCACTTTGCTGTTGAGTATTAGGGCCCCTGTATTATAGTGGTTCCAATTCTGCATCTCAGGATGCATATAAAAGGTGGAGTTGGGGGAGGACTGTTTGACACTACAGCCTTTGATAGCCCTCAGGACTCCACTTTATTCCTTCTATTACTTACTTATCCTTATTTATCACTTATTTACAATATTTTTACCCCACCTTTCTCCTAAAAAGAATCAAAAGAGGCTAACATCTATATGGAGCTCCTAAGAGACATCATTCAGCACTTTAGACTAATAAGCTGATAACAGCTCTATTGATCTGTGTAACCCAACCCCAAGGAAGATATTGCTTGAGCTCAACAACAGGCAGGATGAGGACAAACAAGCTGAAACCAAGTCCTGACCAGATGGAACTGCTGCTGCTCAGTAGGAAGTCGAATTAGGGAATTGGGATTCAGCTTGTTTTAGAAGGGTTGTCTCCCCCTTGACAAGTCAGTTTTGTAAGCTGCTAGTGCTCCTTGATTGCACTGTTGCTACAGTCCCAGGCAGCAGCAATTATGAGAATGTCTTTATACAATTTTGCTAGTGCACCAGTTATGCCAGTGCATCTTCCCTGAGTTGATCTATCTTAACAAGTCATCCATGCCTCAGTTATAACTTCACTATTGCAGTATGCTCCATTTGGTGCTATCTATGAAGAGGGCCTGTGATCTTCAATTGGTGTAACATGCAGCAGTTGGGTTCTGTCTATAGATACTGTTCTGACGAGTGAGCAGTATCTCCTACACAGTATCAGGATCATATGACCCCAATACCAGGAGCAACTCAGATGACAGTCACGTATTTTTATTAGATGTGGATTCCACCACAACCAACTTTTGCCTGACTGACTTTTCATCTTTACTGAGTTAAAATATGAAATTACCCCTAGATATAAGTTGCAAGGTTCAAACAAGATACAGTACAGAGATGCAGTGCAGTTAATACACACATCTACTCAGAAGTATCAGAAGTCTGAATCCAGACTTTGTGCTTTGCAAAAGGAAGTTATTCTGTTCCTGAAACATTATAGGTCTGCCTGCCCACCCACAAAACATAAGTTACATTTCAGTTTGCCCTACCCTTCCACTCATGGTTTGCTCTGCAGTCTTCTGAACTTTCTTCCCTTCTACCAATATATTACATTTAGTATGCTTTAGTTCTGAGATACTGAGCACAGAGTAGCGTGTTAACTCCTCAAAATACCTCAAGATGCTTTCCTCAGTACAACACAAGGAGTGCATTAACTGTGAATTTAGTCATTACATCACTGGTGTACAATATGTCCTATACAGCTAATGAGAGGGTTAATGAAGACTTCAGAGATATTAGCAAAATAGCTATGGAGATTGAGAAGAGAAAATAGGTGTAGGCCCAAATTATGAGATACAGGGGAATCACAGGCCAAAACAGGCTAAGATTCAACAGCTAAAAAGAAAAAGAGTTGGAGAAATGGTATGAAAAGTTAAGTGAAAGAAAAACACAATAATCTGAAATATACAGTACGGCAAAGTAGCACCAACAAGTTGTTGATGTGGGACTGCATCTTGTGGTTAACATACTGTGGAGAATCTTGCGGCTTGTGCTCTTTTGCAACTTTTGAATAAAATATTAAATATTTGTTTTGAATAACCATTTAATGCATCTAAAAACAAGCATGATGTGATTTTGATCATGATTTTTGTGCTCAATTAAAATATTTAGTATTTCCATATACGGTAGATACAGATACATTTTTGTTTGTAAGATTGTTCTGAAATATTGGTACACTGGTGACAGGTACTTATACAGCCTAGGTTTTACAGTACTTTGCAGTGACAGCAATGTAAATCACAAAGTATATCGTTGAAAATAATATGATTTTGGAAGAAGGTGACATGTGCCTTATGTACAAATCTGACTTGCTCACAACAAAATTAGCTCTACATATGGCTTGAAGAATAGCTTTATCCCTACAAGGACAAAGATGATTACTAGAGACTCATTGAAATCTAAAACCCCAGTTTAACCAGGAAACAGAAATACTTTCAGTCTCTATTAGAAAGCAGCACAAAAACTGCCTCCCAAATAACTACTCCAGCAGCATTACTTCTCTCAATTCCTTTCACTCACTCACAGCACTACTAGAACAGGAACAATTACAATCATTAATGGGTAATGATGTGACACTCTTAATTTGCTCAGTTCCGTAGCATCTTTGGCAATTTAAGTTTGAATGAAGCCTGTGACTATCAAACAGGCTTTCTAAACCAACTTCTGGTTTAGGTTACTTTTACTTAATACTGTAGAACTTCAAGAGGCTATATACGACCATGAAATAAAATACAATCCATGCAATGATTTTTCTCAGTATTTAATGTGACACACTTCAAAACACATGCTGATGTAACAATGCAAGGGGGTGCTTTTGGTGGCATAGTCAAGCAGAAGGCAAAGAGAGCAAAAGCATTCTTGGCAAACTACTCTCTTGAGAATTAAGACCCTTTCACCTTTTATACTTAAGTGTGTGGAAGAAGAAAGTGGAACAGAAATCACTTCCACCTGGACCATTGCTTCTCCTTATCTGTTAAAGGCACATATATCACTCCCATCAAAGGCTTCATCTTGACACTGCCATCTTCTAGCTTATCATACTGTTCCAGCATCTGGTTTCCTCCAGCAGGACCAACAGGTAATATTAGTCTTCCACCAGGCTTTAATTGATCTATAAGCTATACATAAAAAAAGATTAGACAGACACAGCAAGTGTATTTCTAAAATTGTTGTCTTATCCAATGAAAAAAACCAAAACAGGTGTGCCATATACAGTACTAGAATACTATTGTTCTGAGGTATATGGGCTGGTATCGTCCTGATGGTAAGGGATTTCAACCCAAACAAAGCCACGCTAGAGGAACAGCCCTTCCCTTCTCTTTCCTACGTCTCAACTGCAACATATTGGAAGGTAAGTTTTGGGAATGGGACAAATGAAAGATGGAGGAAATAGTTTGGAAAAGGCTTTATTTTATTTATGACTTTACTCAAAATTCAAAAGGACTGGGACTTGAAATGTAACATATATTATTTCCAAACCAATGTAACTCCCATTCTTAGAAGTCAGTAACATCACATTAGAATATGAAATCAAATGGACTGGATATGGAATTGGGTATGGAACAACTGATTGGTTCAAAATTGGGAAAGGAGTACAATAAGGCTGTATATTGTCTCCCTGCTTATTTATATGCAGAATACATCATACAAAAGGCAGGACTGGAGGAATCTAAAACTGGAATTAAGATTGCCAGAAGAAATATCAACAGCTTCAGATATGCAGATGATACCACTCTGATGGCAGAAAGTGAGGAGGAATTAAAGAACCTCTTAATGAGGGTAAAAGAGGAAAGTGCAAAAAATGGTCTGAAGCTCAACATCAAAAACCTAAGATCATGGCCACTGGTCCCATCACCTCCTGGCAAATAGAAGGGGAAGATACGGAGGTAGTGACAGATTTTACTTTCTTGGGCTCCATGATCACTGCAGATGGTGACAGCAGCCACGAAATTAAAAGATGACTGCTTCTTGGGAAGAAAGCGATGACAAACCTAGACAGCATCTTAAAAAGCATTTTGAAGGAAATCAACCCTGAGTGCTCACTGGAAGGACAGATCCTGAATTTGAGGCTCCAATACTTTGGGCATCTCATGAGAAGAGAAGACTCCCTGGAAAAGACCCTGATGTTGGGAAAGTGTGAAGACAAGAGGAGAAGGGGACAACAGAGGAAGAGATGGTTGGACAGTGTCATCAAAGCTACCAATATGAATTTGACCCAACTCCGGGAGGCAGTGGAAGACAGGAGGGCGTGGCGTGCTCTGGTCCATGGGGCCACAAAGAGTCGAACATGACTTAACGACTAAACAACAACAACAATGGTTGCAATATTTTCATTTAGTAAGAACCTTTAGTAAAGCAGGTCTAACTAAGCAGCCTGCAAGATATTTTAACTTAAATGATGCTTATCAGAAATGGTATGCACCACATATAAACAGGAATTACTCACCGCTTGTGGCACAACTGGAGCAGCAGCTCCTACATGAATAGCATCATATGGAGCATCATCAGGATTTCCCATTCTTCCATCTCCCACTGTAAGAAAAAACAAAAAATGGTTGACAACAATATGCTTATTTTCTCAAAAACACAACTTGCTGCTGGTAAAATTTATTTATTTATTTGACTTTTGCACCACCCATCTGGCTGCCAAGGCCACTCTGGGCAGTTCACAATATAATACAACAAACACACATCATATATATAAGAAACCAAAATTAGACATCGCATACATAAAAAGCAACATAAAATTAACTACGTGGTTCCCTGCAAACAAGACAAAAATGCTGCAAAAATGCATTAGGGTTTATTTTCAGGTGATGTTTTATTTTACAGTCATGCTATCATCTTCTAGGTGCTGCACAATGGTGGAGGCTGGGGTTTCACTTAAATCGGGCTTATATTTGGGGTAAGGCTTGTATTACAAGCATCCTGAAAAATCACACTAGGGCTTATTTTCAGGTAAGGTTTTATTTCTGGGGAAACAGTATAAATAATTCAGGTATTATCACTAAGTTTATAAATCTGTTTGCAAAAAGGATTTAAATATAATCTTCAAACATAGCCAAAATTAATTCTATAATTTTGGATGGGATTCTTAAGTGGAATTTTAACTGGGAATTACACAGCTAGGTTCAAAAGAATTAGAGCAGAGCAAATGCAGGTCATAGAATGAAGCCTGATGTCCACAGGAAATGAGTATCTGCAAGACTCAGTTTGTTCCTACTCACTATGCAAAGCCTAGTGGGTCAAATATACCTAGTGGTATTTATTTATTTATTTATTTATTTATTTAATTAATTAATTAATTAATTAATTGATTGATTTATACCCCGCCTATCTGGCCCACCGGACCACTCTAGGCGGCTTCCAAATATAAAATCAAATAATAAAACATAGACAAATACATAATAATCAGACAAGAACAGCAGTAAAAATAAAAAGGAAAAGTAAGAAAAAATCAAGAGTTGGCTGGAGGGAAGGTCTGAATAAACAGCCATGTTTTTAATTGGGTTTTAAAGGTGCCCAGCGTGGGGGCCGCGCGAATCGCCGGAGGGAGATTGTTCCAGAGGCGAGGAGCCACTGCCGAGAAGGCCCGGGTTCGTGTCTTCTCCTTCCGGGCCTCTCTCGGCGTCAGGCTCCTCAGCCTCACCTCCTGGCTCACGCGGGTGATCCGGGTAGACCTTGGTGGGATGAGGCGTTCCGCCAAATATCGAGGTCCTAAACCGATTTAGCTAGCAGGACTGCCTAAGTTAATCTCACAGCAGGTCTTTTCCAGTGCTCCTCCATCCCCAACAAGAAATAGCAGGTTATGACTTCAGCAGCTTCTCAGTGGTGAAGCACTGCTTGTGAAATGCTTTTTCAGTGGATGCTCTCCTGCCACTGATTATCTCCTTTTCCTCCAAACTTCTTAAGAATATATTCAGCCCTGTGCTGAATTTTCTACTGCTTTATTTTTTCTCATTTTTCTAGTTCCCTATAATTGTAATCAAATGATATGCAAGCCAATCTAAAAGGTTTAATCTTAAGGCTGGGATATAAATGTATTAACAAATAAACAAAATGTTTCTTAGTGATGAAGGAAAGGATGATTATAAACCCAAAGACATTTATTTGTAACAAAGCTTCGCTGCTTTCAACAAAGCTATGCCCACATAAGCTCCATAGTACTATATATTTAAGATGTTACAGAATAACCAATGAATATTCCACACACCATAAAGGCCAACCCATACAGAGAGGCATAATAAATTGGTTCGTTCTGTGCCTACTCTCAGAAACAACAGTAGGCACAGAAAAAACACTGACATTCTTGAAACATCTTTATTCTACTCACAGGGTCTGAAGATGTTTAAGCCAGCCTCTAAAGCTCCCGTAGGTCAAGGCATCCTGACCAGTGCTCTACTCACAGAGGGAGAATGGGAGGAGCCAGGTAGCTTTCCATCATGAACCTCCAGACTGCACCTGCTACAGCTTCAGCTTCATAGCCAGAAGAACAGCCAGGCACACCTCCAACAGCTGAGCACTTAACTTATTTGCCCTCCTCCTCTCTGCGCAACTCTAATTCCTTTTGTGTAATCCCAAGAGCAGAGACTGTCATTATCCATAATATAAGTCAATCTGGGAGCCTTTTTTGGTTGAAGAATGGGGTTTAAATGCAATCAGTCAATCAAACAGGCAGCTGTAGCTGAATATTAACAAGTCATCACTTATTTCTATTTTGGAAGATTTCAGCAAGAGATGCTGGGACAGTGTCATACCATCTTGTTAGCAGGAGGAGGCCATAAGGAATTCCAAGTTGGACAGAATTAGACATTCAACACCACAGTATTTGCACCAGATCCCAGAAGTGGGCACTGAGAATAGTGGAATATAAAATATTGCAACACCAGGCTGCAACACTGAAAGTTAAGTTACACTGAAATTGACAGCTATTGCTAGCCTTCTCTGTGGATTGAGTAATTAACTTCACCATGGAAAAATCTAGCAGAGAAGAACTGAAACTCTGCCTCAAGCATGTGTATTCCTTTATCTGTTTCTGTAGTTAACATGCTCTAGTACTTACCAATCAGTTTCACTCTGCCTGAAGATAGCAAGAGAGGATCATCCTTTTTGACATTATTTATTGAATCATCTACTAATTCCTTGATATGGTCAATTCCTACAACTTGACCTTTGGGACCAACCTGAAACAAAAATGCAGGTCTGTTTTGGTGCTACATAGTGAGTTAAATAGTTAATTGCTTTTACTTTTCAACTTAAAGCATAAACAAAAATTAAAGAAAATGGATGAAACCTAACACAGCTATTGCTATTGTCTGCCAACTCATTTCTCTTATGCAACCATTCAGCTGCAATTTCTGTATGCCTGTTATACTTTGGGACATACGTTGTGGCCCTCAGCACCTTAATTTCTCCTCAACATCAAAAATTTTTGAATTTTTTTCTAAAGGTCCTTTCTGTTATCTTCTTGTTTACAAAAAATGAGACCTCCTGTGTCCTTATAGGGCATATTTTGAGTAAAAAAGTTATTTTCTGAAGTGGCTGTTAGTGGGAGCAAGTGTACGTATGTAGTTCCTAAAGCCCTTAGTAGTTGCCTACTCCTGCTCAGAACCGATTTAGTATGCAAGTACTTTTACCGTCCATAGTGATAATTTTTTCCAGTATTACTTTGATTTCATACGTTTTCAGTTAACATGACTAGAACATATTAACATGTGAAGACCAAACCCAGTGGCACTTGTTAGCCATTTTATTTTGAAGTACACAAATGGCTGCATAATTTACAGGTTCAGCACTCTGTTCTTATTTTGACACTTCTTTTGAAACACATTAGATGTTTATCACTAGTGAAATGCATGAATGCCACACCAACCATTCACCACTGACATTCTAGGAACACCCTCACCCAAAGAGGGTTACACCAGTTTAGGGCTTTAATATTTTTGCTTTTAACTAAGGTGGCATGCAGCTGGCTTCTACTAGATAATGTGAATGTTGAAATACGACAGCCTTTGGCAATGTTTACTACTGTATAAGAAAAGAAAGCAGATGGGTCAAAAAAAAGCTTTTTAAAAAGGGGAACCCTGAGTGACCAGAATAAAGTTGATTTTGAATCTGAAGACAATTGTCATTAGAACTGACCAGATACATAGTCATATAGGTGTTTCACCCCATAATAATACCTCCACATCTCCACTTATTTTATAGTTTAAATGTGTGTATTTAATAAATGTCTGAACAAAGTTACAAAGACTCCTACTTGAAGGCACAAATTGATTAGCATTTCCCTACTGTGTACATCATAGGTTGTACAAAATACTCAATCCAACCAGTAGGCAAGTTTGAATTGGTACAGCTTCAAATTTTTTACTATAGTACATAGGCATACTTCATAAAATAAGCTGAGGATCACTAACTTGTTTAAACAAAGTCTTTCTAGTTTTCTTTCTAAACTTTCAACTTTCTAGCTTAAAAACATTATATATTTTGCAACAAATACAACTGACTAACAATGTTGCTACATTTATTCAAGAGGTCAATTTTTTTTACCATTCGTGCAAAGCATGCTGTAAGAATACCACTTCCAGATCCTACATCAAGGGCTTTGGCTCCTTCGTGTAACTGCTCATATAGGAGTTCCAGAGCATACGCATGCTGATGAAAAAAGAAGAGTTTACTACCTTTTGGATTTGCCCTGTGCATATTCACTTTTACAACAGCTTTACAGTTACATAATTTACACAAACAGTAGAGGAAACCAGCATTTGAACATCAAACAACTGAAAAACGAAAACAGTGTCAGTCTCATGGAGTCAGCAAAGCCAAAGAGATAAAATTCAGTTTCTCAAAACTTATTCCTTAATATCTAAAACTAATCTTCGTTCCTTCCAGGGTATTTTGCAAAAGAAACCACACGTTCTTCTCACACTGCCTTATCAAAAGTAGAAAAGCATGAAAAATGAAGAAATTCAATTATATCACGTTATCCAACGAAAAGACCAGGGTGGGCCATGGATGGCATGCAACACCAAGCAGCCTGAAGCACTGTTCTACACTCCTAAATGTTTCCCTCAAAAGTATTTTCTTTTCATTTATTTCATTTCATTTATATGCTCTCCCCAGAGGAGATTCAAAGTGGCTCACAATTAGTTAAAACAACACAACAGCTTAAATTAAAAACCATGGATATAACATTAAAAAACTGTAACAATATTTAAAACCCACAATTAAAAACACTTTTAAAATTAAATGGACGCAGGGAGCAATTTTCCTCCCTGACCTGGACTGCCATGCCTACCTGTCAACCTTTTAAAAAAAAAAAATTGGCAAAGGAGGGGGAAATTATGTAAGTAATGGGCAATAAAATTTTCTAGGTGAAACATATAACTGCATAATAAAACCTCACCTGGAAGCACCACTTATGAGATTCTTAAAATTGAACTACTTTGTGTGTTAAAAAAGTTCACACATGTGGCTTCGTGAGGGAAAACTACCAGTCTGAGGGTAGGGAATAGTCATCTCACTCGGGTCTGTTGTGAAGGTGAGCAATTTCCAGTGTCCTGCAGTTACATGTTTCACCTAGAAAATTTTATGTAGGTAATGGGGCACTTCAGTCTACATCCCAATCCCAAAGAAGGTAGTGCCAAAGAATGCTCCAACTAAACTGCACTCGTTTCACACACTAGCAAGGTTATGCTCAAAATCCTAGAAGGTAGGCTTCAGCAGTATTTGGACCGAGAACTCCTGGAAGGACAAGCTGGATTTCCAAGGGGCAGAAGAACTAGAGACCAAAT